CTATCCTAATTCTCAAGTTGGACCAAACCGCACACGGTGTGCAAACTTGATTAAAATCGGTTAATTAGTTTAGGAGTTCATTGCGGACAAACAACGTGACACATAATTTATATATATTAAGATTAGGAACTCATTTTCTACTTTTCCCTAAATCGTATCTCAAAAAGAATTAAGTTTCTTGTTCAAAACAGACTAAGCTGTAAATTTTCAAATACCAATACTCCTAAGTAAAAATATTTTTTCATATTGATTATTATTACTCGTTCACAGGACTCTGGTAACGTCTTGGCCAGTGTTTTATAAAGCCTTTTCGTATGGATATGTCTCTTACATAAAACTCAATTCGTCACAGAACTTAAAACACAATCTATCATACAGCACTTACCTGGGTTATTCCTCAATGAAGGCGCATATCTCCTTATTACTTCTAAAATTAATTATTTAAGCAGTAATTGTACGGAAATTAATATATTCCATAATGTCCTAGCATACTTTCAAATATGTATTAAAATTGGTTGCTTAAATTAAACACATTCATAAAGTTTATAATCTAGAGACAAACTATTTAGCACCTTCTATTTTAGCTGCATCGAAGTAATGTAGGCATTTGTATTTCCGTACAAAAAAAATCTCCTGATCGTTTTAAGTATTGCCACTATAAAAATGTGTACGAAGTATAATTTTTGAAGTAAAACTTTACGCACGCCTGACTTGGGGAGTAAGCTGGTGAACGCGTGATGAAAGCTTTACGAAACGTGTTACTGGGCGAGGCGAACGGGAGTTGGGTAGGGGATATAAGCAAGAGAGAACAGTGCGCGCGCACATTTTCTTTCTCTCACAGCCAGTTATTTTTCGTAATTTTATTTCGTTTTGAACAATTTTATGAATTAATATATTCTACGTTTAAAGTGAATAAAATTATAAATACATTTTAATGTTCATGTTTTGTGAATTTTCGGATGAATAATAACAAATTATGGAAGGAAGCCGATATAAATAAATTTAAATATTTGCAGAAAATTAATATATGTATATACAAATATATATAATACATAATATATGCATATTATAAAATATGTATCAGTCGTGTGGTCATTAAGATTTACCCCATTTCAAATTTAAAATTATCCAATCTAAGCATAATACTAATAAAAAAGTTACAATTTCAAAGAAAGTTCTAGAAAAAAATCTATATTATGTCACAGATATGCGTACTCGTAAATTGGTTGAATGGTTCATTATATTTTAAAATTCCTCTTCTACTTATGAATTGTTAATATAGTGGCGTAAGCATAAGCAAGATGATTATACCGACAACTATTGGAAGGCATAAGACTTTTTTAGTATTTCCAATAGTACTCTTACAACACCACCCACAGAACGAAATAAGGTGATGAATTAAGTCTCATACGTACATTTATTACTTTAGTTTTTTTTAAATAGAATAATGGTGACAAACGAGGACACAGTTCACTTGATGGTAAGTGGATGCTGTGGCGTATAAACATCTACATTTAACCTCGATTAAGAATCAAAATGCAGATGCGCTGTCACCCCTGAGGACTAAGATGGAATGCCTCGATTCCAGTAAAACGGGTCTCCGGTTCTCTATACTCACCATACGAAACACAGCAGTATTAAGCTGCTATTTTACGCTGGTATTCTGTGCGAGCGTGGTCCTTACCCCGTCGAGCCGACCCATTTATGCTATAATCATAATATAGCTGCAGCGTAGCTCCTACACGTATAAAAAACCTAACTTCTAACACATAGGTTACTTGGACAATTCAAAAAGTTTTTCTTCAAGTCAGGCCTCTAACGACCGACTGATCGCCGAAAATTCGTCCAGAAGCTTCCATACAAAACCTTCCGTCGACAATAATCGGGAGAAATTTATTAGCGCTATGATTGTATCACTGAAAAGCATTATCAGCAGTGCATCCCAGGGTACTAGCGCCTTTATACAGTTTACAGGTGATGAGACTTTCTGAATTAGTCCTTTAGGTATATCCTCCAAACCGAATTTCGGCCACGACGGCCAGCCTCAACGGAGACTAGCCATCGGCGCAGGACAGGATTATAGTGCCCAAGTGTATGCGCTAACACAGGTGCACTCTCTGTTCGCTCGCTCTCATAATCCGATGGGCCGGTAAACCGACACGACCGGAGAGAGATCAGGCGCAGGACCAACGGCTTTACGTGCTTTCCGAGGCACGGGGGTGAGACACCGCCAACTTCCTGACTACGGGCAGCTACTGAGAATTTCTTGACAGAAAAACTCAATAATTGATTTTTTGGCCCGACCCGGGATTCGAACCCAGGACCTCATGATTAGTAGTCGCACTACTACAACCACTAGACCAACGAGGCATTCATTAGGCATATAGCGGCTACTACCGGATTTTTGTCGGAAATATGTGGTAGGCACATTGGGTCGCAGTAGCGGCACAAAAGGTGGACTGCAAGCTTCTTTATTACTTCGTCCTCTGTTTCATTAAACTAATCTATATTGAATAAAAATAATTCTACTCTATTCTTAAAATCCTATATGGAGGATTTAATCGCCACGCTTGTTATGAGGAATGTTAATTTTAGTACCAGATGTGTTATTTATCAGTATTTTATAATAAAAACGATGCAATTGGATCATAAATGCATACATAAAATAATTTATTTAAAACAAGTACATATATAGTTTCTTCATGCGATGACCACCGTCCGATGACCCTAAAATGGGAAACACAAGCAAAAACAAAAACATTTACCGCTCTGTTATGTTCAATTATAAAACACAAGACATTTCTGTATCAATTACGATTCAAAATGGATTTTATTGTCAAACTTTGTTAAAATACTTTTTAAACTATGAGACATGTCCATACGATCCTTAAACCTATACACACACTAACATGCTGTAAATTTTAATGGTTGACAGATTTTCTACCATAAACTCATAATTTCAGTAACCACTGTAAACGCTAATTTTGTAAAATTATAATATATTCACCAATGTATACGTTAATATTGTAAATGTGTCATTATTATAAAACCAACAGGCGACAGAAGAATACTGTAACGTAAAGTATGTCCCCCATGTTAAACTTGGTGAAGTTACACTGAGTAGAGTCACCAAATTCAGATATCTGAGACCACTAGGTCACCGAGGATCTCTCTGACGATTTAGATGTTGAACAGGAATGTAGAGCGCTGGCAGTGAGGTATAATATCCTTGTCTGCAGGTTTGTTAGGTGTACGAAGGATGTTAATATAACATTATTCAAAGCTTACTGTCGGACATTCTACTCTTGCAGCCTGTGGACGAAGTGTCCTCGCCAAACTCTCAATGCGCTATTGTATTCAGTACAAACAATGGATTCAGGATGTTATTGGGGCTGCCACGCTTTTGCAGCGTATCACCTGTATTTGCTAAGGTACGCATAGACAGCTTTGCAATAATATTACGCAAAAGAACAGCCTCCCTGATGCGGCGGGTGCGAGACAGCACCAAAGGCCTGCTATCATCCATGTATGGAAGGCAAGATTGCCTTGTTATGAAGCACTGGAACACAGTGCGTATGGTTTCCAGGCCCAGTAAATTTAATAATAAATAATAATTTCTGTTAATTTACCAACCACCAGTTTTAAGCGTACTAACAAAGTGGGTGTATTTACATGAATAATGAATAAATAAATAAATAAAAAGCAATTTCGTATGGTGAGTGAAGAGTAATGGACACCCTTATTAATGGAGACGTGTTTGCATTTTGCTTCTTATTTGAAGACGGATGTTGGTTACAGCATCCACATACATGAGACATCAGGTAGACTGTGTATTCAATTTTGAGCTTGTAAAATAGGGAAATTCTCTCTCTTCACATTCCGATCTCTTTCTCACTGGCTTCTCTTTCGCACACACTAAAATGAAGGTTGGTGTAAATTCTACTGTTTGTCTGTTTGTAGGCTTTACGCCTAAACAATATTTTTACAGTAAAATATCTGTCAACTAAATATCAGATAGATAAACTGCTGTGAATGTGGTGGTATATATGGGTTTGCAACTAGCCAGTTCATACAGGGTTGGGTCGTAGGCAGAAATATATATATATATAATAAAATTTAATTTAGATTAACCACATGCTTAACATTAAAAGAAAACATTCTGAGGAAATATGCATGTCTAACAGAAATAGAAATATAATCCACTTTATTCAATATAGATTATAAGAAAGGTGTTATACTTATTGTAAGAAATTTTGTTCTATATTCAAAAAATAATTATTGAAAGTCACTCTCATGTTCAATTTATCACTTGTTGGAAAATACCTCTATCCTGAAAAGAACCGTACCAGGAAGAATCAGAGCAGTTTACAATCACTAAAGTTGTTAACTTTAAAAGTTACATAAATAAATAAATCCATATAGCTTTCAGATTTATATATATATAGGTGCAAAAGTTGCATCTTGTAATATAAATTGTGCAAACATTAAGAACAAACAAGCTACTGATACCAATTCCATGACTCCACAGACAATAATTCATCCATGGAGCAAAACATTAATATTATACATATTTTTATTACAAGAATATTTTTTTTTATTGAATAAAAAAAAATATTCTTAGGTCACAAATTTTCGAAAGAAAACAGTTTGCTGCATTGTCTACATGCATGTTGGAAGATTTTGCATATGTGCAACATTTTAATAACTCGGACATACGGGTCCTTAAAGTTCCTCACAATGTTTTCCTTCACCACGTAGCATGTGATAAATTACTACTTTAAATTCAAATAACATTTTCTAGAATATCTATGGTAAAGAAACTCTAGATTTATACTAGGAAAAAAAGTGTAATGATTGACTTGCAGCTAAAAACAGTATTTGGAGATACTACATTAAAAAAAACTAACTTAGTAATTCTTTAAACTACCCTCATCAATGAAATAGTGCCAACTTCTGGCTATCAATAATTAATGTTCAAAACAAACTTTCACAGCAACTCTCTATCCGAAACTCAATATAAGAATTTCATGCCTACCTTTCTTTTTCTTCTCTGGTTTCACTTTACTGGCCGATGCTTTGGTCTCTTTTTTCAATTTTACTTTCTTGATGGGCGTCGCTTTTACTTTGACCGTTGACTTTCGCTTTTCCGCCACTTTGGCGTTATCGATAAGGTCTAACAGATCCACGGACTCCTTTTTTGGGAGTTTACTAGCCAATTTTGTTAACGGTTGATCATCAACTAAAATGAAAATAAACTTGTTATAAATGCATTTTAGTAAAATTTAAATTATATTCACAAACGCTACAGTAATGTAAATTCTAAAACCTGTTAGAGAAATCAACGTAGAAAATAGCACAAACATCAAATAATCATCAATAGATAACTGAATCATAGTATTATTAAGTCTCCACTCTTTTGTTATGGACGTTCCATGCAATCAAACTTAAGGGTGTGCTTCGTAATTCATATAGTGATAAAATTAAAAAAAATTAACAACCAACTTCAATATAAATAAAACGAGAACATCATCAATGTAGTCAAAGTCAATTAAATACACATTATTAAAGATAACTCAAAAACTACTGGTCAGATCTTGATCAAATTTATATGGGACCACACGAGAAGCACCAGTTTTAAAATAAAAAAGAATCATCAAAATCGGTTCAACAAGAAAAAAGTTTTGAGGAAATTTACACATGAAAAAATACAGTCAAATTGAGAACCTCCTCCTTTTTATGAAATCGGTTGATAATATATTGATATAATTTTCCAGGGTCTGTTTTTCCAATGGGATCTTAACTATGTGGGTGTCTTAAAGACAAGTGTTCATAAATTTATATTTGCACTAAGTGTGATTTATCATCGAGGTCTTCACCACCTTTGGATTGTAATTAAGCAATGGCTTAAAATTAGTAAGGAATCATTACAGCTATTACAAAATCACTATTGGATGATAATAATAGTAATAATTTATATGTGGTAGAGCCATGCTGCAGTTATATTAGTAGTATAGTTGTAGCATGAATGGGTCGGCTAGACCGGGGTAGGACCACGCTCTCACAGAATACCAGCGTAAAATAGTAGCTTAATGCTGCTGTGATTCGTATGGTGAGTGTAAAGAACTGGAGACCCTTTTTACTGGAAACAAGGCATTCCATCTTAGTCCTCATGGGTGACAATGCATCTGCATTTTGATTCGTAATCGAGGATTGATGTAGATGTCTATGGGCCACAGCAACCACTTACCATCAGGTGGACTGTGTGCTCGTTTGTCACCCTATTCTATAAAAAAAAAAGAAAAAATAATTTCTTTATTTGCTTAAAACATGGTGTTTGTTGGTGGTACAGTAAAATAAGTTCACATGTTTTGCTTATAATTAGCATGCAAATTTAAGTTTATGTTTAGGTAACATTTATTTCAAAAGGGTCAAATATATTCATTAAAATCAATGTCAACAAATCAATAATTATTAAAGCCTAATGATCTGTAGTTGGTTTTGTATTTGACTATTTTGTTTGTGCTGTGGTTATAAAGCGAATGTTGATTATGTGATCTCGAGTTCAAATCCCAAGTCAGGCCAAAAATCAGTTTATTTGTTGGGAACTTCTTAGTACTAGCCCGGAGTGAGAAAGTTGGCGATGTTTCATCCAGTGCCTCGATGCACGGGAAAATGTGGATCCTGCGCGTGATGTCTCTTCAGTTGTGTCGGATTGCAATTATACATGACTATGAGAGTGAGTAAATAGAGAGTGCACCTGTGCTTGCACTCACTTGTGCACTATAACCCTGTCCTGCACGGTTGGTTAGCCTCCGTTGAGAATGGCCGCCGTGACCGAAATTCGATCTGAACCTCTCTCATCAGGTCCTCACTTTAGATCTATCTTCATTTTCTTTAAATATTTTATTTATTTGGCTTTTTATTTATTATGCCATCTATGTGGTGGCAAGAGAAAATCCATCAGCTCATTTTGTCTCTTGGGTGTAGTTTCATAAGTGGCGATTACGGGACTGGAAGATCTTATAGATTACGTCAGATGCAAACTATCCAGATGAGCAACAGACAACAGTTAAAGGTGCTCAAGTCTGGTATACTGCGATTATCAATCAACGTGGCGATCGTGGCGATTAAGGCCAATCATCTCTACAATGGAAGAGGGTCATTTTCAACAATGAACTTCTACAGGCCCATGAGAAAGAAGAAGGAAAGTTACTAACATGGAAAACAGTCAAGGAAGTTTAAAATGTGGTAGAGCTATATTATAACTATGGCACAATGGCTAAGCTTAACTAGGGAAGGACCACATTCTCACAGAATACCAGTGTAAAATAGCAGCTTAATCTGTATCAAATGGAGAGTGTAGAGAACTGAAGACCCTTTTAGTAATAATGAGGTACTGCATCTTAGTCCTCAAGGGTGACAACACATCTGCAATTTTGCTCTTGATCAAGGATAGATGTAGGTGTCGATGGGCCACAGCATCCACTTATTATCAGGTTGAATGTGTGCCTGTATGTCACCCTTATATGCATTTCACTTCCACTACTGGCAGTTGTAATAAACTCCAATACAAGCCTCATCTCATTTCTGAGAGGGTTTTAGAACAATTAGGCTATTGAGCTGACTTTTGGAAAACTTCATATGTCTTCGAATTTTTTAAATTTATTACACATGCCGGTATCCTCACGATGTTTCCCTTCACTGCCGATCACGTGGTAAATAAATTATTAAGAATTTAATTGGTGCCTGTGAGGATCGAACCCGAGTCACTTGTTTAGCGCGAGTGCTAACATGTCATAGCAAAAACTTACGATCATCTTCATTATCATCGTCATCATCGCCGAAATGGGGCTCATCATCGAAATCTTCATCGCTGCCTAGCTTTTCTTCCTTCACAAGTTCAATTTTTAATTCTTTTTCATCTTCAATTTCCTCTGCTGTAACTGAAATAAAAAATAAAATTAGCTCTTTTACAAGCCTAACAAACTGAATTTACTTCATCAGTTATATACTTAAAATTACTTAGATGTCATAAGAGGCGACAGATAAACTGGAGTTAAAGATCTTCTTGATAACAAGTTATAATAATAATAAAAAGAACTGCTGCTGCAATCTACTTGCCAAGTATAGGAATTAGGGAAAATAATGAAATAACCTTTATCAATGAGTGAATCTATGGTGAAAAGGCCTTTGTTTAGCAGTGGGCTTTTGATAGATTGCAATAAAAAATGTATGTTTGCACGAGTGTCAGGTGTTCTTGCAATAAGTTGAGCATAGTTTCGACATCACTTAAAGGGTATGTTCCGAAATACAATGCATTGTACTGTCCAATGCAAATGACGTCATGAATCGACGCTATACTGGTGATTCGTTCCAAAACATTGGACAGTATATGACGTCATACTTTTGCGCCATTTGGAAAAGTGTTGGCGATTATTTTGTTATTTTGTGCTCCAAAAATCATTATATCCTCCTAATGGATATACCATCAATTATTCTATAATTTTTTGTATTTGAATAAATAGAAACAAATTCTGGCATGCTTTATTCGGCAAACACACAATTAAAAATTGTTTTATTATGGCCGGATATCCGACACAATATGGCGGCGGCACGCTAGTACAACAAAGTGTCAAACTGTCAAATGATGACGTCATTTGCATTGGACAGTACACTGCGTTGTATTTCGGAACATACCCAAAATATACGTAGTGTACTGTCAACACATTGACTGGGCATCTTACTAGGGTATTAGACTAATATAATAATAAATTATTCACTAAACATAAGAATCATATAGTGGCGGTGTAGAAAATATCCACTACCCCATATCATCCCATGGGTGTAAGAGGCTACAATGGGAAATAAATCAAAAGATGGGCAGCAGTGCCTTCCTTTAAACAACTAAAAATAAAATAAAACTGCAGTTCGAACCCGCTTGCCAAGCATGGCAACTATGACAAACATTCCCCTTATGATGCAATCTATGGGAGCTTATGTTCAGCAGTGAATTAGAAGTAAGTAAAATAATTTACTTCTTATTTGTTGCTTATAAAAACAGAAAACATATTACCCTACCCCCAAGTACAGGAATTAATCCTTAAATTTATGTCCCATACAGCAATTGAGCATGCTAACATATCAAGCACTTATCCGTTACGCTAACAAGATGTTTTATATAAAAATCAATGGCTAAACTCGAAAATGCAAGAATATCAAGCAAAAAAACGGTAGATGGTGATGTTTGAGATTCAAAAATAGCAAAGCAGGGGCCAATCGCTAGTAACCAATAAATATTTACTTAAACCGAGATTTGATGGCAGCTTCAGATGCATGCACCAGGTATAATAAACAAAATGCAATACTTTTATCAAATTACCACACAAATATAATACATACTCTCGACAGCAGTTATGCTGGAGCTGCTTGGGTCCAGATGCTGTAGAAACATTTTTTCACATTCAACCACCTGCCTCTTAAAATCGGCGGCATCTCGCAACCGAGAAATACAAGGTTCACAGATTAGACGACTGTTGCTGTTGGGCCCACCCGATTGTGAATATGCAATCTGTAAAGGTTTTGTAGTTTTAAAAAAACAAATTTTACCACTGGGCCTCACTCAACTAGACTTAAAACAAACTAAGATCAAGACATATGCATGTCAATTGCTTAAAACTGCTATAATATGCTTTGTTTGTCTAATGGTCATTAATGCAATTACTAATTGTGAGATCGAGGGTTCAAACTGTATATTTGTTACATTTGTAGAAGTAGAACACAATAATAAAATCCAATAAGTTAGATACATTACAATTATAAAATAAACATAACAGCACCCACGATCACAGATGAGGAAATTTAGAATCATTTAGCAGGAATTTGGGGGAGTAAGGTGTTTTATTTGGTAGAGGTTTGGTCCCCGATTATAATAATACCACTCCCATTAAAAGGTAATGCACCATTCTTGAGAAAAATCAAAAAGAAAATCCCATAGAACTAACCTCCAAAACATAACTCAAAATTAATTAAGGGGTGGGAGGGGGTGGAGAGGGAGGCGGGGGAGTTGTAGAGTCGCCCCCCACTTCCACATCCTGCCTTGTTGCTTAGTTTTTTTATAAATTTTTAAAAATCTAATTTTGAGGTTATGTTTTTGACTATATACCTGATTTATGGGGGAGAGTTGGAGGAGGGAAGCACCACGTGGTGCTGCCGAGGAAAGGCCGGTCAAAGGAGCCCTACTTCTGAGTGGTTTACAAACAAATAACCACGAAGGGAATGGCGGGGTCTATTCGCTCACTTCGCTCGCTCACTCAACCTCGCCATCCCTTTCTAACCTAACCTGTCCGAGTCGGGGTGCCCTAAGTCCCGTGCTCGCTTTGCTCGATCTTGCACTCAACAAAACACCAAAATATTAGATTTTATAATTACTTTAAATTATAAACATCATATAGAATACAATAATAACCAATAGGTGCCTGCAATTTGCTACGACGGGCAGAGGCTGCTCTCCCTCTGCACCTACGGCTTTACAAAAACACTTTAGGAGTAGGGCAGACAAGACTATGTGAATTTGGGGTGTGCTGATTTCATTTTAGTACAGATTCGATCAGATCAGATATCTATAGTCAGGTTGCCTTTGTTCCCGCCTCAAACACAAAATTCTGTATGCTATCCAGTTTTCACAGTAATATCGTATAATTTTTTCTCAGAAGGGCTAGACCAAACCTCTACCAAATAAAACACCTTACTCCCCCAAATTCCCACCAAACGATTCTAAATGCAACCCAAAAACTGTGGTTGCCAACTCGCCTGCTGTGTGACAGCTATGGCTAAATCCCTTCTATGAGATAATCTATGGGGAGCCTATGTTCTGATGTGGACTGTATACCGTAAGATGTAAATGATTACAACAGTTTTATTACTTTGTAAATTTATAGGGACTGTGTAAATAGGTATCCGTGGCAGCTGTGGTCATTTAAAAACTATTTTTTGTATTATTTACCCAGTTCAACAAGACTAGAAGCCACCCCAGCACTACTAATTTTAACTAGTAGGTTTAATTTGTAGAATTTATAACAGAAATCTTATATTTAATTTGTTTCTCGCTATTGAACAAGTATTCAGAATACAAGCAGTTATTGTATCTAATAGGATATCGTATATACAGCATCAATTTTGAATTATTGATTTTATAATCAGGCTCGAAACGCAAGCACCAATTTATGCACAAGGTAAAATAATGGAAGAGACTCCTGAATTTGGTCGGATTACGCTAACAATAAATAGCTCAAGGAAATGGACGCTATAGTCAAATAACAATTTAAATACACATTATGCGAACTTACACTTAAATCAAAGGTCTCGGCAAGCATTTCGGCGTAAACTTCTCGTTTACCCATCCAGAAATATTCAGTAGAAATGTCTTTATAACAGCCTTCTGCGAGACAACATCGACACACAGTGGGGCCCGGTCGCCAATCCGATGTTTTTGCTGCCATTATTACTATTTATTCAGATATTTTCACAGAAAATATTACTATCACATACTTTTACAACTAACCTACTTAAATTTAATATAAAAACTACATGAATCTATTATCTTTCACCTATCCATCACAAAATATTCAATCAGCCGCCATTGAATTGAAATAGCATAGCATCAGCAAACAGCAAGCGTCAAGGAAAATGTGACCATATTTAAATTGGTAAATCTACTTTGGTAAAATGGCAAATTTAAAAATCTACCAAAATATACCATTCATTGCACAATAATTATAAGTGTTTTCGGTAGATACACCGGTCTAAAACCGAACTGGATCTCGGCAATGTTGTTGAATCTTTTGAGATAATCTCAATAAGTCAAAGAATTATTGAAAATGCGTTCTAGAATTTTCGATAAAGAACTGAGCACCGATATTGGTCTATAGTTGGCAACTAAGGGCCTATCCTCACATTTAAATATAGGATTGACTACAGTTTTTTTCATTAGGTCAGGAAATACTACAGTTAGAATTGAGGCATTACAAACATGCGTTATAGGTGAAGTTAACGCTTTGCGCGATAATTTAATAACGTCAGATTGTATTACATCCCATCCAACGGCGCAATTATTCCTCAGAGAGTTAATGATATTTTCTACTTGTGGCTCATTAACAGTTACCCGTAAGCGAAATGTACCTCCCATAGCTCTCTCAATGAATAATGAAGCCATTGCCGTACACGATAAAGTTAAATATCTAGGTGTTATTCTCAACACTCATATGTCCGATATTTATCAATTAATATCGGACAAATTAATGTTATCAGTTTGCAACGTATAATTGGTAAGCAGAAGAAACAGCGTTGGTGATAGCACGCAGCCTTGTGGAACACCAGCGTTAATATGCTTGTAATCACAGCATGCACCGTCTACTACGACCTTAATGCTCCGATTAACAAGAAAGCTAGTGACCCAATCGCAGAATTTCTCGGGACGCCCATAGGAAGGGAGCTTCGAAAGAAGCACTTTAAGCTAGACCCAATCGAAGGCATTCGCTATGTCCGATCTAATGGCCTCCGCCCATCTATGAGTAAGGTAGACCAGAAGATCACCAGCTGATCGACCACGACGGAAACCGTATTGGCGGTCACTGATTAACTGGTGATTGTCAAGGTACCTCATGAGCTGGCAGTTTACAATAGACTCATTATTTTGGAGAACAAGGAGGTGATGGCAATAGGCCTGTACTTGGACGGGTGTGAGCGGTCGCCTTTTTTAGGGATCGGGTGGACCAAAGCTGTCCTCCAACAATTTGGGACTACACCTTGGGAGTAGGAGTGCCAGAAAAGACGCGTTAAATCCGGTGCCAACTCCGGAGCACACGTCTTCAGCACAATGGGAGGAACTCCATCAGGCCCACTCGACTGACTGACGTCCAGGTAGAAGAGTGTTTTGCGAATCGATCGCTGTGTAAACCGCACCTCCGGCATGGAGCACTCACATCGCGCGATGGTCGGCGGTGTGTTCCCCCCATCATCGAGAGTCAAGTTGGACGCAAAGAGAGAGCCTAACAGATCGGCTTTCTCCTTTGCCTGGAGCCATCCTCTCTGTGCAGAGGTGGTAGAGATGACTGACAGAAGTTTCCTTGGACAGCCTTGGCGAAAGACCAGAAAGCACGGGTTCCCGAAGGAAGGCAAACTAGCTTCTCGCCAATTCTGCCGATGTGCTCAGACCTTGCCTTGACAATGACTCTTTTCAAGGACCTGGCGAAAATATACTTCTTTTTAAGAGCGCTGGTGTTTACATCTCGAGACGTTGATGCGTCAGCCCAGGCCCGGTATCACTCCTGCTTATAGCGTGATGCTATTTTACAGGAGCGACCAAACCATGACCGGAATCTGCCTCTGATGGGCACCACAGAGGATGGAATAAAAAGTTCCATACCCTGAATACCACCACTACCACCACCACCACCGATACCACACCAGCGACAGAATCAGCAACAACGCTAGGATCGTCCGGTGAAAAGCTAACCCCAAGCTAGGATGCCAAAAAAGACCGCATCCCATCCCAATCAGCCGACCTATAGTGCTAAACACGGCGGCAACCTGCAGAATGCAACCGCGACGTTTATGTGGCTGGCACCATACTCCTAGCTCCTAGCTGTTCCATTATTTTGGATCCAAGATGTTCCATTATTTTGGATAAAGAAGATGATAATGCAATTGGGCGATACGAATCTACGTTATTTGAGTCTTTTCCAGTTTTTAGTATAGAAATAATTATTTCGGTCTTCCATGACTCAGGGATATGTCCAGATAAATATATTGAATTAATGATAAGGATAAAATAGAGTTTAGTAGGCTTTGAAGACTTGGACATGAAACAGTAAGGAATACCATCCATGGCTGGGCAGGCCTCTATCACTCTTGCTATCTGCGTGAAATAATTACCTAAAATCGCGACGCGCCCGGGCGAAATAACGTAGTCAGGGCTAGCGCGTTGGAGGCAATTGAATGTTAGTTTTTTTAACGATGTTTACGTAAATAGTTTTAAGTAAATACTTGTTGAAATAGTTTTTGTTTAGTGTTTAGTATATTTAATTGTAGGTAAAAATAGTTGTAAAAGTTTTAATGTATTTTAAAAATTATAGGTATAATATGTATATTACCTATTTGATTAATAAATGAAATGACCAACAAAAGGTTTCATATCATTCTTTAAGTTACCGAAGAATTTTAGAAAGAAGTTGTGAAAGGTGAATTTATTTAATTTTTTTGTTAGATAGGTACTCACAGCAAAAAAGAATTAAGTAATAATTTGGTCTACAGAAGAAATACCTGAGTACTTCATTACAAAAATTAGTTAAAATTTACTTCACTATCCAAGTATTTACTTACATACCTATACTTGTCTTTTGTAATTAAAATATTTTGAGTTATAATAACACAAAATACTGAAATTAAAACTTTGTATACTAACAAGATTTTAAACTAAATAGAATAGATCACACTTCTGTTAGAAATCGTATTTCAGGTTTATTTGTTGTTTACACTATCTACCTATTTCTCACAAGCGTTACGATTCCCGACGAATGACGTTGCAATTTGCGTGCATTAGGCATCGCAGAACTCACATTTGGGCGAAAGTATGGTTAGTCAATCATAGTCAGAATATTAGTTGGTACTTCACCTAAGTAACATAATTAACATTTCGCAATGTATTTTTTTACTTTCTATTGACATCCCTTAATAACCACGGAAAGTCCGCCGTGACAAAAAGATGCAAAGTAATATGGACACTAGCGCGCAGCGATAAAGTGTTATTTAGCTTGCGTGTGCGATTTATCTGATTAATAATAATTATGTAGGCTATTAAACGTCGGTAATCAGTCGACATCACAGGAGTGCAACTTCTGTACGTAGTACTATTATTTATTCTGTGGCCTGGGGTGGAATCGCGGAGGTGATCTCTTGAATAGACCGTTGATGACCGCACCTTTCTCAAAGGAAATAAATAAGTCATAACCTTGAGAAAGGTGCGGTTATCAACGGTCTAGTAAAGTATTTATCCCACTTTGCCTGTGATAATATATATTTTAGTAGAGGATGTAGGTCGGAGGAGGGTGAGAGGAATGGAGTAGAGATATTATATTACGTAAGTGATCACTTCCATAGATATTTTGAATAACAGACCAGGAAAGTAGTGAAGTTAAAGGTGACGCTAATGTGAGATCTGGAATGCTAATGGTGTGGGTAGGACATTTTCTGCGAGTTGAGGAACCGTCATTGAGAATGTACAAGTTAAGGTCATCCAATAGATTAAGGACAAAAAATGAGATAAGGTCAGAAGCATGGGAAACCTATAATGTATTTTTGCAATTTAAATCACCTAAAATTATGTGAGGGTCAGGAATTAAAGATAAGATTTTATTAAGCTCAGAAATAAGGTTTGGATTGGGGTGAGGGATATAAGTAGAAATAAAAGAACTTTTTCCTCAAAAAAAATTCAGGCCTCTCTGCGCAGAGATGATAGAGATGACTGACAGAAGTTTCCTTGGACAGCCTTGGCGAAAGACCAGAACTTGTATTTGCTTAAATATGATAGGCTTCCTAATAAAAAGAGCACAGACAATACGCCCACCTTGCCTGTCGTCTCGAAGACAGGTTTACCCAGGGCCGCGCCGCCCCTGTGTGCGAAGTGTGCGGCGCACACATGTGCCAAGACAATAGAGGCGCCGCCATCGAAATTATTGTTGTTACACTTACACAACATATTCTTTGTAGTGGAGTATTGATAAGTAAGTAGGTACAATAGGCGCAACATATTCCTTGTAAATAACAAAACATAATTGTAATGCGCTTATTGTACAAGTCTTCTAAGATAATATTCACGTGTGTGGTTTAATTTTACGCTTTGGGTTTTAGTTAACATTAGTTACGAGCTCAGCGTTAACATCAAAAAACCGCCGTGAGTTTGTTTGAATGAATTACGAACGTAACCCGGTGCGATGCGTGCCTCGCAAGCGGGGTGGGGTCACGGGGATTCCCCGATTTTAAGGAACGAGAGGGCCAAAACAATTGAACAATCAGTCAATTGAAAGTGTGTGCAAGGTGCGCATTGATTTTTTATAATAAGATTAAGTTCTAGCTCTAAAAACAATATATAGTTTGTGTGTTAATGATTGTTTTAACGTGTTTTCACGACGAGTGACAGTACTCAAGACAAAAAAAGAAATTATCTGATTACCAGAATTAAATAAGTAAAAAAAAAACAAGAAGAAGAACTCTACCATCCACTTCTAAAGAATCATTAGAGACAGAAACCAGTCATTTTATCGATGAAGATGTTATAAAATTTGATTCAAAAAACGCTTTAGGCACGTGCTTTTATGTAATTTTCTATACAAATAAATATAACTTTAGTCTGTATGTAATGTCAAAACTAAAAACATTTTCTTTTTAATTTCATTACAAACCCTGCTCATCTTGGGAATAGACGGCGGAGTTTGATTGTCGAGAAATATTCATTTATTTTATCATACATAATTATTCATAGATAGGTAAATCAGTTTATACAGACAGGTAGATAGGTATTCATATGTCTTTGTTTGTCGGTCTTTAATTTAAGATGATGGCGCCGAAGTTACGTCCGTGCCTCTGCCTGATACACCATTGTCACCGTCAAAACAATTATCGTCACCAATACCAGCTTTTTCCAAAGATGACTCTGGACTCTGGCCAAAAGTTTTCAATGCTACTTTGATCCAATATTTAATAGAAAATCCGATTAAACAAATTAAACAGTATAATTTTCCGGACAAGCACAAAATATAGCTTTTCGTGGCCACAGCCAAAAACTATACGACCGTAACAATGGTAATTTTTTAAAATGTAGAACTGTTAGGAAAATTCAATCTTTCACTGATATAACAAAGACGACGCGTAACGAATGATTCGGATTTCAAAAATATGCCGACTTATCTTGGAGATAAGACCCAAAATAAAATAATTTACATACTCGGCAACCAAATTCAACATTTTATTTTAAATTTATGTTAAATTAATAAATATTTTTCAATAATACTGGATTGTACACCTGACGTTTCACACATAGAGCAAATTGGTATTATAATAAGATATGTCTATTTTAACACAGAAAATAGAAAGCTGGAAATAAGGGAGCATTTCCTAGGTTTCAGTCCAATTATTGATACAACTGGCGCTCGATTAACGTCATTTATAAAAGAAAAACTAGCCGAAATTAATTTGGACATAAACAACTTAAGGGGACAGGGATATGATAATGGATCAAATATGCACAGTAAGAATAATGGTCTTCAAAAAAGATTGCCGGATCTAAATCCCAGCGCTTTCTATGTACCGTACGCTAGCCATAGTTTTAAAAAAATGACGCTGCCAATCTCAATCATCATATGACTGGATTTTTTTAGTATTGTGCAAGAATTATATAAATATTTTTCGTCCTCTACCAAAAGATGGGATATATTAAAAAATATGTCATAAATCTGACCTTAAAACCATTGTCTGAAACAAGATGGTCAAGCAGAATAGATGCTATCAAACCGCTGTTTACAAATTTACCAGAAATTTATGATACCTTAGATGAAATATCAAATGGTATATCATATGATCAGAAGGCAAAATACGACGCTAATAAAATGTCTAGCAGAAAAAATATGCTCCTTTTCATTCACTTGTTCACTAAATATATATGGCATATGATTTTGGCAAAAGAGAGCAAAATTTTGCAGTTCATCGATATGAATGATAAAAATTAGAACCGATGCAAATTTTGGGGAAATTGTAAATGATGCCATGAAAATTGCCGAAAAATTTGTAGTTGTAAATTAAAACTTATAAAAAATTACCTGCGATCAACAATGAGCCAGGAAAGATTAACAAATTTAGCAACAATATCCATAGAGGAGGCCATATTAGACCATATAGACATACACGAGATTATTAACCTTTTCCCTGTCCCATGAATCACATATGAACATTTCTATTGTTGTTATTGTGTTCTATTTCTATTGTGTCTACATCGCTTACAGGGAACCTGTTAAGGATTTAAAGCGAGAAGAGTGGAAATAATATAATTTAAGTATGTTTATATTCTTGCATAGTTTAGACTCTTGTTGTTTTTTTTAAACATAACATACGTAATAGTTAAATCAGTATTACTAGAAAAGTCAGCTATTTTGTTATTGATATCTAAGAATACAATTAGATATAACATCATAAATAAACTATGTAAAAATTAAATTCGTGTTTTATTTTTCGCAGTAATTGACAAGCGGAAGCGAACTGGTTTTACCTATTTACGAAAATATTATCTAAGTATATAAAACTGGAGAACATTTATTTCGGTCAAAATTAACAAATAATAAAAAAAAACATAAGTTGAAACATGAAGATTCGTGAAAAAAAGAGGCGCTTCATAGGTTTCGCACAAAGTGACTCTAAAATATTAAACAGGTTTTAACCAGGTTTTCGAGACAGCAGAAACTATGGGTTTGTAATGATTTAATAAATACAAGTATAAATTCAGGTTTATTATTTCTTAAGCTTCTACAGTTCTAATGTAAAATTTTCTGAGCCGTTCTTTGCAATTAACTTAGAAAGGAATTCTTCAAGTAAAGTTATGACATTGTCCGATAAAGCATCACTGAATTTAGCTATGATATTAATAAGGGAACAAGTGAGAAGTTCTATTAGATTATCAACAATCAAACCATTAGCCTGGTAAGAAGAAGGAGATCTCTAGAGAGAAGGAGATAACTAAAAAAAAAAAAAAAAAAATATATATATATATATATATTGTACTATACTAACTAGTACCTACCCGGTTGACCGAGCTTTGCTCGGTATTTTTCGCTCGGATTTTTTTTTAATTCGTGTGTTTTGGAAATTATATTTAGATACAAATTACATACTGATGAAATACGAATAATATTTTTTGATCTTAGCGACATAATAAAAAATCATGAGTGCAATTAGTTTAATTTAAATTTTCATGTTTTTAAAAAATACTAAAAAAAGGGTTCGAAAAAAGAGATTTTCTCAAAAAAAGAAAGGAACTTGAAAAAAAATTAAAAAATGTCGGTCGGTCTGTCTGGGCTCGAACCATGGTATTACGATTTTGTGACCGCCCAATATACCAATTAAGCTATTCGTAATCATTAATAAACTGTCAAAATTTACCTTCTTATTCTAACGATATTGTAGCAGTTTTTCATTGCCTAAAAACACGGACAAAAAGACATTTTCTAAAAATAAATCCTAGCTAGATCGATTTATTGCCCCCGAAACTCCCTGCACACAAAATTTTATGAAAATCGTTGAAGCAGTTTCCGAGATTCCGATTATATATATATGTATATATATATATATATATATATATATATATAAAAAAAAAATATAATATAATAAAAAATATATATATATACAAGAATTGCTCGTTTAAAGGTATAGGATACATATATGTAACAACTAACTATACTCGTATATATATATATATATATATATATATATATATATATATATATATACATATCATTATGACTGAAAATGCCATAAGATTTGCCATAGGATAGTCTGGATCTAGGACTTTTAGTTATTGTTTTTTATAAGAAATTTTAGATGGGGCACTTTGGACTGGAAGACTAGTGGAAGGTCTATCAGGTGGAGAAGATTGTGACGAGAGGAACTGGGAAGGCCTGCTGACTGCAACCTCACCATTATACTTTCTAGACGCTGGGAATCTCAGAGAAATTTCAGTACAAGTAATAATGTCTTCCGATTTTACGATTTTTATGGCTTTCTGTCTCATATGTTCAGGGATTCAGGACAATTGGGATCTACGGTTTTTTGGTGACCTCCATTACAGAGGAAACAAGTGATCCTATTCTTCTATTGTGTGTCTCCAGAGGGATACTGAGCACACCGATAGCAGCGGGACTTTGAACGACACTAGATACGAACATAACCAAAACGACGGCAATTACGGCATTGAGTAGCAGGTAACTAGTAAACTGTAACTGGTAATACTGTGTTTTATCCATTGAGGTATTACTACTACGTATAGAGAAGATAACGCCTTACATGATTTTGCGCCATGCTTTGCGGTACACTGTACCGCAACTATTTATAGTGAGTGTCCACCGCACAGATGAGTCGTGTTCGCATCTCTGTCAACACTCCGTCTGGATATTTGGAATTTTGGGATAATGGCAGAGTAATTATTATTTTTAAGGAGAGGGTTGTCATCAAAAGAATCTGCAAAATTAGCAGATTTATTTAAATCACAGTTTTGAACTGATATTCTATTTCTTTCTATAGATTTAATACCACCATCTGACAATCAATCCCTTTATATTATTTTTGTGTACATATTGTGCAAATTTAAGCAATTTAATTGCCAGCAGCAGCAGGATCTGATAAAATTCAAACAACATGTACTGTGAAGGGGCTAGTATCATTATCAGCGTAGTACAATTTAGTGTACTCAAACTCAGGAACTATGTACACAGACTGAATAGATGTACTTGGTGGATTATTTTTTTTTTTGGCTCGTTCACAAGTTCGGATTTCGCTGGACGCTTCTGACCCAATCTCTGTGGGCGGTAGTGTCACCCCCATCAGGTGGATCATCATCATCAATTTCGTAAAAATAGTGATGAAGTAGACCAGTTAGCTTAACAAAACCACCACCACCTTTAATAGATCACAACACAAAACTAGGGAGAGAAATATTAAGAATCTCAACAGAATAACAAAATATTTGTAAATAAAAAGGAACCACGTGTAATACCCAATACCACATATACTTAAGTCACGCTCAAGCGGTACTTAACTAGCCGATTATTGTACGGTACGTGTTACGTAAATCACGCATAAAATCTTAATGTGTATGTACGTGTCACGTTTGTCCGCGATGGACTCCTAAACTACTTAACCGATTTTAATCAAATTTACACACCATGTGCAGTTTGGTCCAACTTGAGTGAAGGATAGTTTTTTTGCCCATGAGTGACTAACAATTAGTTTTTGCGAATTTATGGATTTTAATAGGACATGACAAAGGGTCATCGGAAAGGGCAGAACAACGTCCGCCTGGTAAGCTAGTTTATAATATTTTATAATTTAAAAAAAACGTTAACATTTATTGAAACAATAATAAATACAGAACAATAGAACTTTAATTACTAACATCTATTAGAACACTTTAAATTCAATAGTTTAATCAAGAAATATAAAAAAAATACTTGACATAAAGTAATTTAAATCTTTTGTACATTTTTAGCTTGAACCGTATTTTTAAAGTACAAATAAAAAAATTTAAAGTATCTAAACGAATTCGGAGACTCACTATAGTATTTAAGAACCTAAGAACTGTAGCGACAAAAAAACTGCTAATTGAGACATATAACGCCCTTTGTCATTGTCCATAAATTATTGTATCTGCTCATGGGGTGGAGCTCCCAAAACGTACCTTATAGAGGCCGAGAGAGCTCAAAGATCTATATTAAAACTAATATTAAATCTTCCTTATACACACCCAACATCTAAAGTATATGAATTGGCAAATGTCCTAAGTGTACGAAAGTCGGCCTGATTCGGTGCTGGGCCCGTTCCATTTACCATTGGTTGCTCCGATGATTTATAGAGCCTCTTCTGATCACTCTGGAAGAGACGATTCTGGTTGAACCGTGTCGACCTCTCGGTATATCGCCGAATCCGCTTTCCCCAAGCAGCTATTCTCTGTTTCAGGTCATCTATGCGCTCCGTCAGTTTTTGCCTTATATCCGGCTGTGACAAACCAACATTTGTCCCAGCAAATGCCATCCTGACGGTGCGCACAATCCTTGGCCTGTTATTGCCTGACCTGAAGCATATCAGTCTGCCGATGAGGGCTCTAGCCTTTGCGATACGTTCTTCAATTCTTATTCTCCAGGCTGGGATACCGCTACTTTGTCCACTAGCGCGTTCAGCCGTGGAAATTTTGGTGTCAATAATACGGCGTACTGCCAGTGCGGCGCCAAAAAGAATTGAATTCGTCTCGCAAAGGTCCCGGCTGGCTTGCAAATAGGTCACCAGCATTGGATTCAAAGCCCTTACGACAGCCCGATTCCGCTTGCTTAGGGCTATGCGGGGAAGTCGCGGTCGATTTTCGAGAGGCGTACTGCGCGTTTCCACAATCGCCTCTTCCAATGTACTCCTCATATGCTCAAATTCCAGTTCCTGGGCGACTGTTCCATCATCGTTTGAATCAACCACAACTGGGGTATTCACGGCAGCATCCACGTTTGCGGGTTGCTCTGCAATATGTGGCGCCGCATCCTCAGCCGTAGCATTTTCATCCGATGAGGGAACAGCCTCACGTCGTAGCCGTTCGAGTTCGGCGACATCAAATATATTTGAGCGCAAGATATACCGAACTCGGTCTGCCAGGTTTTGCTCTGTGACGGTTAAAGATGGCTCCAGCTCAGCATAGAGCATCGAGAAGACGATGCATCCTAGCCCGATACGCCAAACCTCCAACTTCTCCCCCTTTCTTTAATACTTAATGAAAAGCCTAGATGGTCAGCTTTCTGGCTTATCCGCTTGCAATTTTTATTTATTCGGAGTAATTAACTTCTGAGCAATAGAATTTTCTATGGAAAAGAATTCCAAGGTAAATTTTTAACAGTTATAGTACCCACTCGAATGTCGGGGTAATTTTGGCCAATATGGCGCATCTGTCGAGCACTTTCCGAAGTACTAAGTAATTGTATAACAAGCATACTAAGTATATATATAAATATATATATATATATATAGATATATATATATATATATATATATAAATATACATGTTAGTGTAAACACTGTTGTCCTTGAAACCAGTGGTTTGGTTCCACTTATAGAACGTAAATTCAATGAAAAAATAACAACATTTTTTTTTAAATAAAATCTCAATTTTTCCTTAATTCCTAAATTTTTGCCTGTCATATGAAAGTATGAAGGAAAAGTTACATCACAGGTTATGTGTACCTATGTTTTTATGTTGAATGTTGTGTAGGTAGCTAGCGAAGGCGGTGATCTTTACAGTAATTACGTCACTCGGCCGAATAGGGTATCCATGAATTTATGGACGGTGTCGGACAGAAACTTTTTAAATTTTATGAAAGAAAATAGCGTTTTCTTTTCAAATTCATTGAATTTACGTTCTATAAGTGAAACCAAACCACTGGTTTCATGGACAACGGTGTTTACACTACCACCCTGTATATGTTACAAATAGTTTGCTATCACTCGACGCCATATTATGGCGTTTGACAGATGCGCATATTATTTGAGACGCCAGAATATGGCGTTCGGACAGACGAGGGGATATAGGTATATTCAGCAAGATACGAAGTGCTGTGTAGACAGCACTTCATATCTTGCTGAATATACCTGTATCCTCGGACGCACGACCTCTGCTTAATTTCGCTCTAATTTTGTCAAGCGTTAATATTGCTATATTTTTGTATCCGCTTGCAATATAGCGACAAAATTAGAGCGAAAGTAAGCAGAGGTCGTGCGTCCGAGGAGATTGGATACGCACTGGATCTGCGGGCCGACGACTGGTGGCCGGTCGCAGTGTGCCGCCCGCTCCCTCGCGTCGCGCCCCGCGATTATCCACGGCGGTCAGTTTCTGGTGATGTTCGCACGCAGGTGTAGGGATGTGCCACAAGGTTTTAAAAAGTTTTAAGCCTGGTGTATCAGGCCAGATTTTAAGTGATTTATTGTGATAAAGAATTTCAAAGGTCAATCGGGCTAGGCTTTTTGAAATTCCACAAAATGGCTCGGTTACAAATTATGCTCTCTTTATGCCCGCCCGTAGGAGCTCATCGGCAAGTTCATTACCTACAATACCCGGGAAGCATACCCATCTTTAAACGACCCTGTTAGCTAACTTCGAGTTTACTAAGTTAGATCTCAGCGCTAGCAGTGCTGCTTGAATATCAGAATTTATTTAGATTATACAGGATGTTTGGAAGGTCGATGCAAAGCCGTAAAGCGGAGATAGTATATTTATACTATTCAGGACCATTTGAACCCAACTTGTCTTAGACGAAGTGCGAATATTGTTTTTTTATCAAGCTCTAATGATTTTTGATGACGAAACCCAAAATTTTGGAGTTAGTTGTAAATTGTGGCCAGTTTGAAAGACAAATCATTTGCTTTATTTTATTTTATTTAATTAATGTGTAAACAGTCTAATGTAACATGATTCAGGCATCTGTGTCATGAAAAAAGTTTTTTTACAGATATTTGAAGTCAATTATTTATTTAAAGATTGAGGAAAGCTGTTATTTGACGGCATTAAAAAAATACGCATGGTGTTGTTTTCGTTCAAATATTTTTAAAAACATGCCCGGTTATTGTTCTTTATTTTGAGGCATCAACTACGCGGATAGCTTACAAATTAATGAAATTAGGGCCTACAAACCAAATAAAGGGTGAAAATTATAATTTATTGACGAAATAATTAAAACAAAATTTTGTTTCTCAAAATCATTTATTATTCGTGTTAATTTTCGCCGCGTTTCCTAATACAAGCACGGGCCCGTCTTCTCACTTCTGTTGTTGTTATTTTTAATTTCATCTCCAGTTTCATCGTTTCAAACGCTGAATTAATTCTCTCAATCAATTCTTCTTTTGTGTTTATTTCCACATTCGTATAGACTAGTTCTTTGGCACGACCCCACACAAAAAAGTCCAGTGGAGTCATGTCGGGTGACCGGGCGGGCCAAGAGACGGGAGCGGGCCCAACTCTGGCTATCCTGCTGTTAGGGAAGCAATTATTTGAGTGCTCTCGTACATTTAATGTCCAATGCGCTAAACAACCATCTTGTTGAAAGATAATTTCTCGGTCTGTAGCGAATATCGGGGCCCCGGAGTCTTCTACAAGCTCTGGAAGATCATTTTGTAGGAATTCCAAATAATTATTGCCATCCAAATTATCCGGTAAGATATGGGGCCCAATCAGTGTTCTGCCAATTACTCCAGCCCACACGTTGACCGAGAATTTCCTTTGAAAAGACTTCCGCTTTTTCCAATGTGGATTATTAGATTTCTCAGCCCATTGATGAAGGTTATGGAAGTTAGTGATGCCTTCCCTGGAAAATTTACTTTCATCTGTCCACAAGATTGATTTCAGGAACCATGCATCTTCAATATCTGCATTGAGAAGAAAACGATAAAACTGAATCCTTCTCTGAGGATCTCGCTCTTCAAGACCTTGAACACCAGTGCCATGAAATGGGTACGTGTTATTTTGGTACATTGTATTCCACACCTTCCTAGCTCGAGCTATTTTTCTGGCATGTGGATTAGCTTGAAATGCCGCCAAGATATCTTCCTCGATGTGATATCATGTCTACCCGGATTGACTCCATGTTTCACATGGTGTATCCCATCTTCAGCAAGCCGACGAAATGTGTTGTAAAATACTCTCACATTTGGTACTCTGCGATTAGGATAGCGTTCTTGGTACATCCGTCGTGCTAAAACTCCATTGCCGTCTGCTCTGCCATACATAAAAACAATGTCAGCATATTCCTTGTTCGCGAAAGAAGTCATAGTCATTTCTCAAATACAAAACGGCGTAGAAGCGAATTAAAACAAAAATTTTACAGTCAAAACGAACACGTGCAGGAGCGTAGAGCTAGGTAGCTAAGGCTACAACTGGGCATGGTGAAACAATTCAAACCAAATTAACACGTGCAGGAGCGCAAAGGGCTACGACAACTGAACACGGTAATTTGTCACGAATAAGGAAATAACGTCCAGTCACAAACGTAGTTGTAACTCGACTAAGTATACTAGCGTCCCTTAAAGAAACAGGCAGTTAGCCAGACGAAAGAAACACGACGCTATTGTCTTACACATAAAGTTGTTTTTATTGTGAAATGTAATTTACGCATCGCTATTTTTTTATTACTAGGCTCGCTACTTGAGAAGGTCAAGTTTATTGTCATCTCATCGCACGCGCTACGCGCCTTTTTTAGAAGAGTCCCCTCAATTTTATTTCGAACTTGTCAATTAATACTTAGAATTGAACTCTGTTATGTAATCATTGCCAACATTAAAAGCAGTGGCGAAGCTTCCATTAAAGCCGAAAATCCGGACTTGCCTTATTAAACCTGAATCAATCAATAATATCAATCAATAATATCAACTAATAAAATAACTCGTAAAATGTTTCAAGCTATTTCAAATTTCCCGCGCACTCCACTGTTCGACACATGTCGACCGATGACCTCGTATTGCCTTAGTGATACTGCTTCTGTCATAAAAAATTAGTTTTAATAGAGCTAATAGTTGTCTCCCTCGCTCGCGTGGGCTTTTTACGGGGCTTTCGAGAAGCCAATCGCTCTCTTTCTAACCTATGGCAAAATTTTCTATAATTAAATATAACTACGATTGTATATATAGCAATTAGTATAGAGATTTAAAGCCAGGCTTTTGGGAATAAATTTGTTAAAAGCGGAGGCGCGCGGGCAATACGTTTGTAAGTTCATTTCACGTTTCAATATTTATTTATTCTGTGTGCTTATCTTAAGCGATTTAATATTACGAGTTCAAAATTTATGCTTTTTTAAAGATTTTTAATGAAAATGGAGGATAGTAGCGTTGTGATGAATTGAAGTGTGTTAAAGTGATAATCTGCGAGGAAAAGGCAAAATCTTTAAAAAAAATTTGAGATAATACACAAGGTTAAGAGTTTATTTCAGACTTATCAATTATCGCAATTAAAAACAGTTATTGGTACAATTAAAACGTTCACCAACATTTTACGTGGACGTAATTAAATCTTTCCATAAGAAAGCGAGACGATTCCACTTATCTTATCTTATCTCTTATCCATTAGAATGTATATAATTTGTTTTTTTTTTTATTTTGTACATAGTTTGTTTGTACTTTGTGCGTGTTTTACTTTTTTCATGTATTGTATTGGATGTAAATATTTTTTTCTTTCGCTTAAACAAACCCAAACGGTTTTCTTCAAAGCCACCGCAGTTATGCAATTGCTGATATGTAATACAATCTATCTAGCAGTGGTATGCCTTCTGTGTACTTTGTTAAACACGTCCTTGACAGCACTGAATATGAAACTGAAGCGTGGAGACAGATCAAGATTGGTGTATTTTTATAAAACTGCTAAAAACAACAATCTATATTTTTATCAATTTATATCTTGGGCTTGCCCTAGCTTGAAGCTCTAGCTTCGTCACTGATTAAAAGTATTTTTTAAAGCACTAATGTCGTTTTATCGCCTTGCTTGACATTTTTAATTTTCTCTTTCGATTTGGTTTATAAGCCCTGATTTCATTAATTTGTAAGCTATCCGCGTAGTTGATGCCTCAAAATAAAGAACAATAACCAGGTATCTTTGTAAAAATGTACAAGCTGTAGTCATTGGCGGTTTCAAATCTGGTTTCATACAAATTTTTTTATAGAAGAGGGGG